AACTGATTGACCATTAGCTATGTTCCATCTCACAATTGGTCTAAGGTATTTTCCTCCATCCTTGATTAGCTTCCAGGCTATCAAAACAGAATTAGTCATGTTTACAGCATTCCAGCAGGAGCCATATATAGGATACATAATTTTATGCAACAAGTATCCTTCATCTTTCAAGTATCTCCAAGCTAGTTTAGCCCTTAAAGTGCCCACTTTGTTGGAGCATGAATGTAATCCTCTACCTCCATTATGTAGTGGTTCACACAATTTATTCCAACAAACATAGTGCAGACCATGCCCATTATTCATTTTATTCTAGATAAAATTATGGAATAATTTTTCTATCTCTTCAAGAGTACTTCTTGGAATCAGAGAAATAGTAGAATGAAAAGAGGGAAGGGAAAGGATTACCGATCTCACCAATGTAATTTTCCCTACCAAAGAGATGAATCTTGATCCCCAACTATTCAACTTCATTAAAACTTTATCTACAATGAATTGGAAGTCCCCTTTGGATAGCCTTCTTAATGCAATTTTAGCTCCAAGATAGTTGAACTCCTTAGCCTCTTTATATCCCATAATGCCTTTAATCTTCTTCTTTTTTCTTCTACTGACAGCTTTCCCAAATAAAATTCCAGATTTGCTTGTGTTAACTTATTACCCAGTCCAACTACAATACCTTCTTATAATACCCTTGATCATCTTCACGTTATTAATGTTTGCTTCAGCAAAAAAATTTACATCATCCGCATATAGCAAATGAGTAATCCTTGGACTGTTATGGCTCACCCGTACACCAATTGATTCCTTTTCAATAATAGCATTTGATAGAAGCTAAGAACATAGGATAAAGAGATAAGGTGACAAGGGACATCCCTGTCTAGAGCTGCTTTTGGCATTGATCCAAGTAGAAGGCTTTCTATTGATCAATATTAAAAAAGAAGGATTTTGAACACACTCCATGATGAGCTTAGAAAAGAAAATAGGAAATCCGAAGTATTCCATAACTTTATACAATGTAGGCCACCCCATAGAATCATAGGCATGTTCCATGTCCAATTTGATGGAGACAAGTCCTTTAGAAGCTTTAGAATATCTGAACTTGTGGAATAGTTCTTGAGCAATCAGAACATGCTCTTGAAGTGACCTCCCCTTAATAAAGGTCGCTTGCTCTAAGGAGATCAATTTTGGAATGATATCATTAAGTCTGTTGAGAAGAACTTTGGAGACAACTTTGTAAACCGTGTTATAAAGACTAATTGGTCTGTAGTTGGCTGCAGATTTTGGATTGCTGACTTTGGGGATTAACAAAGTGATAGTTTTCTTCCAGTTATCATTCATTTTTGCCGTAGAAAAGAACATCTAAATAGCTTTCCAGTAGTCATTTTTGATAATGGACCAATAGTTTTTTAGAAAGGAATAAGAAATTCCATCCTCACCTGGTGATGTGAATCCACTAGATTCTTTTATAGCCCTTTCCACCTCATCAATTGAGAAATCTTTGCTGAGCAGATTTGTTAGGACAACCAACTTTAGCCTAGTCTAGGCTGGTGGATTATTTTGGTTTGATTGCGGGTATCTTTGCCTAGAGGGCACCTACGTGTGTTTGCTTACTTTCTGTAAAATATAACATGTCATATTTACTTTTCTATCAGTGTACCAAGAGCAGAGTGAATGAGTGAGGATCATGTACTTTATTTTCATTTACTTTCCTATATATATAACTGCTCACAACACACTCATAATTGCATTTTATTTTATGTTATTTACATTTCTGCAAATTAGAATGTTCCTAGGAATTGATGTATATATAAAGTGTCATGTAAATTTAAATTTCATAGATACTGCGTATAGATCTATTTGTACAAAGTTAAGAGTTGTAAAAGAGTAAATAATTGCTTTTATGCATACAAGTGGGACTCCAAAAAATAATGTCCTCTTCCAAAGAATAGTCTTTTTAGAATTTCGTAAAAGAGTTGGAGCTCGAAGATAATAAGCAATTGTCTTTGATTCTATATATTATTATAGGATTAGAATCTAGGATTACTATTAATTTATTGTAGACCCCGGGTTGTACTTTATAAATTTTATTTTAATAAAATCAGTTCTTTTATATATGTTATTGTTCATGCATCATAAGCATCACATGTGTAGATTTTCATTTTGTGTAAGCATGTTATACAACATTTGATTTAAATTCTATAACAACTACTTGATTCCTAGGATAGAGCCTTCTAATTAAATCTTGCATTCATATGTCGATTATTGTGGTTAGGATTGCTAGCTGGCAGCTCACTCTAGGCAATTGGTAAGTCTTGATTGTATACACTCTTCTCTGCACCTTCTTTCGTCAATTCAAATAAAAAATCTTTAAATTTAATGTTGGAATTTATAATCTAAAGCATGTACATCAAAATTTAATTAACCCAAACATTTCTTTAAACTTTTATGAATTTTAAAACTATTTAGTTTTTATTTAAATTGAGAGCATTCTCTTAGGGGATGTAATTAACTATAAGGGCTTGCCCCTATATGAAGTCTATATCCTAGAATAAAATAAACCCTACCTTAGTTTTCTTTCTAAGGTAGGAAAATTTTTTGTGAATTTAGACTTTGCTTTATTCATGTTTTAAATTTAACTTCATAATCAAAAGATAGAAGGATAACGAATTTGCTTTTGCAACAAATTAAGTATCCTCTATATTTGATTATGGAGATAAATCTATTATTTATCTTTCTAATTGGAACGATAGGAGAATGTGATTATCATTCTTTAGAATGATTTGTATATTTCCTTTGTTGTGTTTGATTAGGAAAATAAATTGTAGTTTTATTTATTTCAAATCGATAGAAGGACATTACTCTAACCTTCACACGGAATAATGTCTAAACTATACACATTTAATTGAAAGAAAATTACGAAAATATAAATAAAGCAGATCTTGTGGGAATTAAAGCATTTTATTTAAAAGCATATTTTTTTAAACAAATAAAAAATATTTCCCAAAGGCTTATTTGTTGTTGATGTTGGTTTATTGGTCTTATTTATTAGTTGTTGTTTTCTCTCTTTTGTTTGTAGTTGGTGGTTTTTCTTATGGCCATTTCTTATTGGCTATTGTTGGTGTTTGAGTCTTGTTATTTTTTTATGTTTTATGATTGCTTTCTATTGTTAGCTGTTGGTGTGTTGGCTTTTCTATTGCCTTTCTCGTTGGCTGGAGTTGATATTTAAATCTTGGTCTTTTTAGAAGTTTGCTAATAGCTCTCTTTTACATTGTTGTTGGTTTGATGGTTTTTCTTCGGCCTTTCTCGTTTGGTTGAATTTTGGCTCTTACTGCTTTGAATTTGCATTTTTGGCTCAATTGTTGGACTGGATGGGTTTCTTCATGATATGGAGCTTGTTGATTACTATATGGTTGTCAACAGTCGGTTCTTAGTCGTTGGAGGCTGGTTCATTTCTTCAAGAATTCCTTCTGCTCTTAGTTATTTCTGATGGTAGGAATGTGCATTTGTTTCTTCATTTCTGTTTGACTTTTCGTTGCCTGTTTTTTTTCGTGTAGACATTGATGTATTTTTTCCTTCATCAAGAGTTTTCTTTTAGTTGGCATTTTCAAGGTCTTTTTTTATTTGTTTTACATTTTTTGTAAGTTTTTTCTTAATTTTCTTACACAAAAAAATATTTCTCTTGTAATATTTCATTTTTAATAAAAATTGGTATTTTTGCCCATAATTAAAAAAAAAAAATCCTCTATGAGGCCCACAAGATCTATCTTCTCCTTATAACCTACTTACTATCTTATAGATATTGATGGAGACACACAAATATACATAATGTATTCAACTAATATTTTTTTTTTAAGCATGTCCTTATCTTAAATACTTATAAACAAATAACCTTTAAATGAAAACAAGCTACATAATCTTTTGAAAACCCTGAACTTAGATCACGAGATTTCTTTTTTTATTTTTTATTTTTTATTTTTTAATTTTAAGGAAAAAATATTATAAAAAATTGAGAAATATTCTTAGAGAAATTTGTCCAAAAAAAAAAAAGAAGTCTTGAATCATTGTTGAATTTATCTTTTTATTTTTTATAGAAAATCTTGTATTTATAAATTTTCATGATTTTGATGTTTCTATTTTTCTCACCTACATCATAATGTTCTGAAAATTTTTAAGAAATAATTTTTTTTTAGATTTCAATTTCAAGACGAAATCAAATAACACATGTAATAAAAAAATTCGGATAGTTAGAGGCTTAGTGTTTAAATTTTAATTGTTTTCATTCAACATACTCATATTGTAAAACTTTATTACACTGCGGTGTATTGGAGCTGGAGAAATAGAAATGAGATTGTCCATGGGAAGGTGGCTCGTCCGAGCTCTGTGATTGCAACAAATGTTTTATCTTTAGCAATCAATCATTTTAATCCATTTCTAGATAGCTGGGGTGCTAATCTCTTTATGGAGTTCCAAAATGTTTGGCACCCTCCACCACTAAATTGGATTAAAATAAATGTTGATGCATCTCTTCTAAATACAAATAGTGCTGGAATTGGAGGTATCTTTAGAGACCACAAAGGAAGGTTACTACTTGCCTTTGGGGAGAGAAGAATTCACTCGGATATGGCACAACTTGAGATGGATGCTCTGATGTCAATTAGAAAGTTCATTCAAATGAGTAATAATTGAAGGTGATAACCTCAACGTTATCAAGTTTAAGTAAAATTATTTGAATAAGGCTAAGTGGCAAAGTTACACCCGGATAGATGAAGATTTTCTATTCTTGGTTGACTTCAATAAGATAATTTTTCATTATGTTCACAGAGAGTGGCTTTAGAAAATAATTTTTGTTTTGATAGTTCTTCTTTTGCTAACTTCCCTTCTTTTCTTAGTTATTTGTTGAAGAAGGAATGTGAGCCTTTTCTTTAAATTGTATCTAGTTTTATTTTTTTAATGCAATTTGCAAGTTTAAAAAAAAAAAAAATAATGCCGAGATGAAGAGCTGTGATAGGGATTAATAATTTCTCCGCTGGACTGTAATGTACTGTTATGGGCGAAAACCCTAGAGTTTCCCTTTCATGATCAAGGCCAAAAGATGCTTCCTTCCTTCTCGCGCCTCCGTCTTCTCTCTCGCCGCCCTCTATACATATTCGTCATCCGCCGCCCACTTTCTTCCAACTTACCTCCCTGCATAACTTCTCTTTCTCACTCCTTTCTTCTTTTGCCCTACTCCCCACATTCTCCTTTCCTGCCTCACCTCAGCATATTCCCCTCCCCCTATCCCTCCCAATCCATTCCCTTCTCTTCAATACCAGAATCCTCCGATCTCAATGAGTTCTCATCCCTCACTTCTGTACCCACGCCAGAGTCCATCATCTATGTCATCAAGAAACTCGATAAAGTGCCTCAAAAGGCCCTCGACTTCTTCAACTTCGCCAAAGCCCATTATGCCCTCGTTCCCGGTCCCTCCGCTTACAACCTCATGCTTCGTATCCTTGCCCACAAGGACTTCATCTCTGACTTCTGGGTTCTCCTCAATTCCATGCAAAAAAATGGCTATAAGCTCGACGAAGGCGCCTATCGCGTCATACTCGGGTGCTTTAAGAACCAGAAGCTCATCGCTGATAGTTCTTCCCTCACGAAATTCTACTATAGTGCTAAGGAGAAGTCATCTACTGATGCAGCTGTTAAGTACGCGGCCAAAATCGTTCTGGACGCTCAGGACTGGAGCAAGGAGGTCGAGAAAAACTTAGAAGATCTCAAATCATCTGTGTCGGAGGAATTGGTTGCGATGATTCTCAGGGAGTTGCGCGATTACCCGCATAAAGCACTTGTTTTTTTCGCTTGGGCTTCAGGGATTCCAGATTACCAGCATGGATCGGTTGCACACAACGCCATGGCTCTCGTTCTTGGGCGTGACGAATCTATTGGGGAGTTCTGGAGCTTGGTGAAGGAGATGAGGTATGATATGGACATTGATACTTATGTGAAGGTTACAAGACAATTTCTTAAGAGGAAGATGATGAAGGATGCAGTTGAACTTTATGAATTCATGATGGATGGACCATACAAGCCAGCTATTCAGGACTGTGGTTTGCTTTTGAGGCAACTCTCTTTGAGCTCAAATCCAGACCTGGATTTAGTCTTTAGGGTGGTGAAGAAGTATGAAGCCGTGGGCTATTCTTTATCAAAGGTTGTTTATGATGGGATTCACAGATCTTTGACAAGCACAGCAAAGTTTGAGGAAGCAATGGAAATCATGCAGAAGATGAGGCAAGAAGGTTATGAGCCGGATAATATTACTTATAGCCAGTTGGTATATGGGCTATGTAAGACAAAGAGATTGGATGATGCTTCCAATGTTTTAGATGAGATGGAAAAAGGGGGATGCACTCCAGACCTGAAGACATGGACAATTTTGATTCACGGATATTGTTCAGCTGGTGATGTTGATGGAGCATTGGAGTGTTTAACAAAGATGATAGGGAAGAACTATGAAGTCGATGCTGATCTTCTTGATGTGTTGGTCAACGGTTTGTGTGGTAAGAAAAGGACTAAGAGCGCTTATACTTTGATGGTTGAGATGATTGATAATGCTCAATTGAGGCCCTGGCAATCCACCTACAAATATTTAATTAAGGAGTTATTGGGCGTGGGAAAGCTTGAAGAGGCATTGAAGCTACTAAGTATGATGAAGAACTGCAAAGTTCCACCTTTTATCGAACCATTTGCTGCACATATTGCAAAATTTGGGACAATTGAGGATGCCAAAGAATTTTTGAAGATATTGGCTGGCAAAACATATCCATCTTCTACAACATATGTAAACCTATTCAAGGCTTTCTTTGACCAAGGTAGGTACACCGAAGCTCAAGATTTACTTTTTAAATGCCCACATCATATTCGCAAGCTTGTAGATATAAGTAAATTATTTGGATCTGTAAAAGGTACGACTGCAAGTTGACTATGTAGTAACCTTTTTTTATTATTATTTTTTATTTTATTATAATGGTTTTGGATCTGAGGTAGTTGGTAGATCATACTTGTCAGTGGCGAATTGTGGACTACGGTGGAAAGTCTTTTATGGAGCCATGATGCATAGCGAACGGTGCGACGCGCATGATTTTAAACATGTCACACTATCTAAAATTATATATATATATATATTAAATACCATTAAATAGAAAAAAATAAGTTGATTAAAACAAAATTTAAGCATAAATATCTTATCAAACAACAAAAATGACAATTTTAAAACCTACAGAAACTTACATCAATTGATTTGAGCAGGACTTAAGTATAGTTTAGTTTAAATCCCACCAAATAACAAAAATGATAGCTTTAAATCCTACAAAAAAATTAAATCATTTAATATTTATTGATATTATATTAATTTAATATATAATTAATTAATAATTAATTATCATGCTAATATATAAACCTCACATTGGTCTATTGGTTGGGAGCTTAGCTACCAACTAAGAGTTCTTAAGTTCGAGTTTTGTGTATGTGATATGTGTGTGAGTTTGCCTTAATTGGCCTAATTGTCCAAAAAAAAAAAAAACCTTAAAATTCATTGCCTATGCTTGGCACAAGTAGCGTGCACTATTTTGATGAGCCGTGTCTCTTCAAGTAGACAGCCCTGTATATGTAACGTGCCACGTTATGTGCCATGATGCGGGCTATGACGCGGGCCATTTTGTGCCATTGAAATGCATGCTGTACAATACTTCCAATCATACTAGGTGCTTATTCATTGATATCAGCTTATTTGGTGAGCTGACAAGTTGAACTTATGAGAATGGATTGGATGGGGAGAGTTGGGGAAAGTTTTATAGATTGCTCAAAAAAGCTATAGATCTCAAATTGGCAAAGTATCCTCTATTACTAAAAAAAAAGATCATCCAAACTATTCCTTATCTTTCTTTATTTATAGGATTATTAGGGCTATAGAAAAGGTTTTATGGAGGAAAAGTAAAAAAGAAAATGTAATGTTATATATAGTACTGATACAATGCTAGGAACACGTCTTTTCCTGCTTAGCTAAAGGGGAGTTAGGGTCAGAAGGCTTCGTCAAGTTGCTTCTAGGCGAGGGTGATGAGTGTGCTTGAGCGAATCTATGGGCGAGTAGTGAGATAAAGGGGGTTCAGCTGCTGGCGTGCTTGTTAAATTTGTCAATGACTTGTATGAGAGATCTTTGGTTGCCCTAAGAGCGAGGGGAGAGTGCAATGTTATAGGAATTGAGAGCTCCGAGTTTGATTGTCATGGCGAGGTAAGTTGAGGGGGGGAGTGTTTGAGGAGGTGGTCCAATTATGTGGTGAGTTGTTAGCTTTAAAAGTTCGAGGAGGTTGTAAGACCTCAATGAACTAGCTCGAGACACACTGAAAGGAGGGGTGAATTGATATTTTTAAAATATTGCTTCCATTCAACAAAAAATAAAATTTATCTTTTTTATTTTTTTTTCGTAGTTAAGAAAAACAATCAATACTTATCACCTATTGCTGAAGCAAATAAACTTATCCAACATTTCAATGATGATGATAAAATTCTAATATGTACAACAAAATAGCTATCACAAATTTCCACCAAGCAGTTATCACAGGAAACTAAATACGGAAAAGTAAATGTGGAAAATAGAAAATCAGAACAAACACACTAGATATTTTTAATGATTCAGTCAAACAATGACTTACGTCCACTCCCTATAGTCTTTCACTCCGAGTATTACACTATCACTATAGTGTCTCTTCTTTTGCCCTCACGACAAGTCAGATAAAGCCTTCACACAAATCATTTGCACCAACCCAGTACGGTGGAGAACCCAAAGCCTTCTCACCCTCTTGGTGATGACATCGAACCTTCAATCCTTTTTCTCCCTTCTAGAGATTGCAGATAACCTCAATCCTTTTTTTTCTTCCTTGAGAAGGCAGAGAACCCAGAATTCTTTTTCACCCTTCTGGTTATGACAGAGAATCACAATCCTTTTCCTTTTTCTTGGAGATAGCAGAAAACTACAATCTTTTTTCTCTCTCCTAAAGAAGGCAGAGAACCCTAGACTCTTGATTTTGAAGTCTCTCCCAAGAGAATCTTCAAGAACTCTCCAAGGCCATAGGAGGAAGCTGGGTGCAAACTTACCTAGAGCAACCGTGTGAAACCTTTCACACTCCTCACTCACACACAACTTCATCTTCTTTCAAGCCCCAAAGCTCTCAAGAACGATCTCCCTTAGAGTTTCTTCAACTACCAAAAACTCTCTTCCAAAAAGACTCTAAGAGATTGCTTAAGTATTAGGTTTAAAAACCGCATAATTTTTCAATTTAGCTGTCTCTATTTGTACAGTACGATCTTGGTTTGTATAGTACGATCAGTTCAAAATTAAACTTGTCCGGTACGACGCAAACAGTCGTTAAGACGAACTATTCATATTTTGCAAACATATCGTACAGTACGATCGTGAAGTTGTATAGTACGATTTGTTCAATTTCTCTCTATTCATACTGGACGATATCTGCGATGATTGAAAATCATCTTTGTTTATTGTCCCGTACTATTCTAATCGTACAGTACATTTAGTATATTTCCAATAGTTCATACAGTATGATGTAAACATCATACTATATGATTAGTTCAAAAATCAAGGTTTCATTTGGTACGATCTCTTAGACTATCAAATTTCATCTCTGTCAATCTTTCGGTAAGATCAAGATCGTACAGTACAATCGGCCATATCTAATAAATCTTGATTTGATTGACTAATCATGGGGGATAATTTAAGTAAGATTTTAATTATCATACAACACAAATAGTTCAAAATTCATTTTAAAAATTTTTTACTTAATTTATCTGAAAGCTAGGGTTTATAGATCGAAACAAATCATAAAGTACGATTTAAATCGTATAGTATAATCTAAATCGTATAGTATGAGTAGTTCATTAAAAATTAATGATTCAATTAGCCATTAGACTTATTTTTTCAGATAACAGACCGTATAGTACAATCGTAAATCATACGGTACGATTCGTTAAAAAAATATTTCATATTTTTTTCACTCCCGTAATGTGTGTGCACAATCGCCAACTTAGCATACACCTTTAAATGGCCAGACTCAAGAAATAGAAAATATAATAAAATAAAAATTATAAACTCTTTTGATTGATATCCTATTCTACCCAAACTTGAGTTTTGCAATCTTGAGCTGTGTATGTTTTTCTAAAATGTTAGTTTGCAGAGAAAAAAATAATATCCAATATATATGCTCGGTGAAATAAAAAATTTAAACAATATTTGTTTTCATCAAAATTATAAGCTAGGTATCCTGGTTTGTAACAATCTCCTCTTTTTTCATGATAATAAAAATTATTGGTTGAAAAGCAAATTAATGTTTCGTTCTCCTAGTCTCCCTCTCATTAGATGATAGATTCTAAAATAGGGAAAGATTAAAAATTAATTTTAGAATTTTTAATTTTGAATTTTTTTTCATTTTCATTTGAAAAAAATAGATAATAAGAAAAGAAGATTAAAAAAATACAACAAACAAATTGGTAAGTAGAAAATGTTACCTAATAAAATGAAACATACAAACAACCGAAATATTTCTTCCCCTTTTGACATCACCAAAAATGAGGAACTATAAAAATGAAAAGAAAATATAAAAGTACACCACACAGAAACTAAAAGTAGGAAGACCTCTGATCAGGTGGTGGTGGTGGTGGTTAAAAATATTTATGGATTTAGGTGAATTGATCTTGAATTAAAGAGAATTGTTCTCCAAACTATCCCATTTCAGCCTCATGATGTTGTTGTTATTGTTGAATGTGGGAGTCCAGTCTTTGGATTATTTCTTTGTGAGGGTAAGCATGGTAGGCTTGTGTAGATGGTGATATTGGTGTTGTTGCTGGTGCAGGTGTAGCTGCAGTTCCCCCTTCTTCATCAAAATTAGGTTTCTCATGCTCGTGCCCCCGTTGATGGTGAAAGAGAATATGGAAGGAGGCACCAGTGTAGAGTATGGGAACTTGTCGGGAGATGCAGGGTAGGTAAGGTCATATTTCTTTTCAAGGATATAGCTAATAAGGTGATCGAGGGCGACATTTTTCTTTCTCTGAGTTGAGAGAAGTCAATTTGGAATCAGGTTTTGGATATTGTCGATGATCATTTGAGCTTCATTAAATTTAGTATAGGACATTATAAAGTAGGTGACTAGGGTAAAGGTTGAGCAATGTTAACATATCGCCAGGTTTAGGTATAATTGAGGTTCGAAGAACATACTGAATAATTCGTGCATTTTGATTGAAAGGGTGTACTAAGGGTTGATGTTGATTTAGAACCACATTGTGAATGGTTAGGTTTATGATAGGTACCACTTGAGTATTTCAAGTGATTCCTATCGGATCTAAGCCAAATCACTAATAATCCGCTATTTTCTATGGAAAACAGCCACCAAGCACAAAAACAGTGGAAAAATTTGAGAAGAATCGTAGAGAGAATAGGAGAAACAATTGCAAACGATAGAAATTTCACTAGTCGATGCCAAAGACAATAAAGATACAAGTTTCCTTCAATCCGAGAGGAAGGAAAAACTCTCCAACAATCTCCGGCAACGCCAAGAGCCTAAGCAAGAAAACCTAGAAGACAAATCTCTTTTCAAAATCAAGATGATAACCTAATCTCCTCATAACTCCCTATTCATACAATCTAATTCAAATTAAAAGCAAAAGGACTTCTCTACCCTTCCTTCTCCCTCCAAAAATACTTAAACTATGTTTGAATTGCAAGTGGACCCCACCCCCACCTCTATTCCCCCTTCCGCCTGCTCCCTGGGACGCCTCCGCCTCAAGTAAACTTGGACCGGCTGGGCCGGTCCAGGTTGAGCCGGTCCATGCTGGACCGGCATAACAGTTTACAACACTCCAATCAAAGTCAATTCTAGAGGCCATGAATTATGGACAAGTTTCTTTAGTAGAAAGGTGTATATACTCCCCAAATCTTCCATATTGATTTCTATAAAACATTAACACACATAG